TTTTTGAACGTCAGGATGGGGCGGGAGTTCTTTGATTGTTATTTGGTGACTAATACAGTATGAATGTATCACATTTTTCTGAAACAATAAAAGTGTTAAAAAAAAAAGTACCGGAATTAATACATTTACAATGAATAATTATGAAAATATGAAGTTTAATATGAAATTTATTAAAACAATAATAATCTAAGTAAAGCATTTTTGAATACTAAATCATCTTTATTTTTTGAAAAGTACCGGAATTAATACATATACTATGATAAATCTGAAAATATGAAGTGTAAAACCAATTTATTTAAAAACATAGTCAAAATAAATCATTTCTGAACACCAAATCTTTTTTTTTTTGAAGTATACCATAAAATATTTTATATTTTCATTTTACATGTTTTGTTTCTTCTACAATAAAACCAAAATCAAGTGTAGTAGTGCAACAGAATTATGTTTGATGTTTTTTTGTAAACCAGCAACGCTGTGTAGTGTGAATCATTATTGAAAACAGTCATTCTTTAAATGACTTTAACAGTCATTATTAAAACAGTCAAAACAGCTCAACCGTTTGGTAGAGCGGCAGTCAAAAGGATAATGTATTTATATAATTCTTACATATGTACATTTTGTATATTTGTATTTTATTAATAATTACCCCCTGGCATGTATATTTGTTGTTTTGTAAAATGTTATTATTTGTTCTTTAAATAAAAGTGGAGGAACAAAATTAACTTTTACCTGAAGATCCATAAACACACCCTATTCACTACAGACGGACTGCTTTGAAGATATTTGCATCTTTAAAATGTGAAATTGTAGTGGTTAGTGGAAATCTTAAATGCTTTAATTCAAACACTGAACACAACAACAAATATTCATTCATTCATTTTCTTGTTGGCTTAGTCCCTTTATTAATCCGGGGTCGCCACAGCGGAATGAACCGCCAACTTATCCAGCAAGTTTTTATGCAGCGAATGCCCTTCTAGCCGCAACCCATCTCTGGGAAACACCCACACACACACTCAAACATTACAGACAATTTAGCCTACCCAATTTAACTGTACCGCATGTCTTTGGACTGTGGGGGAAACCGGAGCACCCGGAGGAAACCCACGCGAATGCAGGGAGAACAACAAATATAATATTTATTATTAAACCTTATGAGTAGGGATGTAACGATTAAACTGACTCACGATTCAATACAATTTATGATGCTAATCTCACAATTCACGGTTATTTTCCATATAATAGACTTCAATGTAGGAGGAAACACTTAATGTGATGTTTTTCCATTTTATCTAGGGAACTGGGACTCGTAGTTAACCCCAACCGCTTTAAAAAGAACAACTAAAGTTTGACAGAAATCTGTGTTTCTCTGGTTGATGTTTAGGTACATTAAGCCACATCAAGCTTTTTCACGTTAAGCACGTTATAAGTCTCTGTGTCACATATATTGCTGTGCTCAACACTTAACTTGAAAAATTAAGGCCAAAGTCACAGGTCTGCCTGCTTGTGAAAACATTAACATCACTTTACCTAACTTTTTTCTCCATTTACCATTTTCAACAGGTTGCAAAGAGTTTTGTGGTAGGTTTGTTTATTACTTCCATGTGCTATGTCTATGTTAAACAATGCAAAATTGGTTTTGAGCTGTTTAGAGAGAGGGCCCGTTCACAAATCTTTCTGTCTGTTTATGTTTTAGGTTGAAGATGGCCAAAAGAGGTAAGCCTTACAGTTGCTAATCTAGAACACAGACTGTAAAAGATAGATCTAGAAGCATTAGACAAGTGTGTCTAAGAACAATGGTATGTTCTGCAACTATTTTTTTGTTACTGATTTATTACTGACCAGCTTTTTTTCTTTGTTTTTGTTGTAAAATGTTATTATTTGTTCTTTAAATAAAAGTTAAAAAAAAGGAACAAAATTAACTTTTACCTGAAGATCCATAAACACAGCCTACTCACTACAGACTGACTGCTTTGAAGATTTTCAAAGACAAGTGTGTCTAAGAACGATGGTATGATCTGCAACATTTTTTTTGTTACTGATTTGTTGCTGACCAGCTTTTTTTTCTTTGTTTTTATTCAACAAGAGAGAACGCATATTAACCCAGAGCAGAGGGAGACCTTGATATCTTTTTTTCAGGAGGGAATGAAGCATGTGGGCTCACCATTGATAACAAGAGCTGCATCAGCTATGGGTTTGGACACCAGTGTCATAGAAGTAAGCTTGACTTTACTGCCACACTAACAATCAACATGTCAAATAAATATAGCATTCTGTTGAACTGCTTATATAATTGTTTTATTATATATTTTATTGATTATTACATAAGTGTTTTATTAACATTCAGTTTAATTGGTCTAATTCAGGGGTGCTCAATCCTGTTACTGGAGATCTTTAAAGTTCAGCTCCAACCCTGATCAAACACACCTGAACCAGCTAAATAATGGCTGTTTCTCAATATGCGTTCTTCGGCGATCTTGCGTCCTCGTGTAACGTCATCATCAACCGGTAAAGTTCAGTTCTAAAACTCAAGACTGCAAGAACGAAGAATGCGAGAAAGTTCCAGGATGTGTCCTTGATATTCAGGGCTGGCGCGTCCATAGAGGCGACCTAGGCAGCCGCCTAGGGCGGCAGTATAGAGAGGGCGGCGTCCATGACACCTCCCTCACCACCTGCGTCCTCAGATATATTCGCGCATAGACGATAGAATAGAGAGGGCGGCGTCAGCATCACCTCCATCAGCACCCGCGTGTCCTCAGTTATATATGCGCATAGGGCGGCAGAATAGAGAGCGCAGTGTCCGCGACACCTCCCTCCCTCCCTCAGCACCCGCGCGTCCTCAGTTATATCCGCGCATAGTGCGCCAGAAAAGAGGTCCGCGACACTTCACTTCATTTTCATAACCGGTCACTTTCGTTTTCACATTGGGGTTGAGGGCAGTGTGATCGTCCTCTGCCTAGAGCGGCAGTTCAGCTTGCTCCGGCCCTGTTTATATCGAGGATGCACCAATGCAGACTTGAGTGCAAAACACTCTTAAGGGTGCTCTTACACCTAGACTTTTCTTTCAGAACCTGGTGCGTTTCCCCAATTAGAGCGGTTCGTTTGGCATATGTGAATCCAGCAATCGCGCTCAGATTCACACCAAAACAATCGGTCAGAGATTGCCTGAATGAGGTGGTCTTGATTGAAATGAACTCTGGAGCTACTTGATTGTCGTGAGAAAGAAATACGATTGGAACCAGGCTATATCACAGCGGATTATAGATATGTAATAGGCCAGCCTATTACACCTTAACTGTCATTGGGTAATGAGCAAATCGTACTAAATTGTACGAATTAGATTGTACGAATTCATACGAATTAGCCACTAAATCAAAAGTTACGAATTGCTGTGAGATTGCGTTGAATAGGCATATATATGTCTATATGAAGAGAGAATTATGAGTAGGACGGGATGTCATTCCTACTGGTAAATGTGCGTTTCATGTCAAATACGAAAGTGAAGGCATGTTAAATATTAACGAGAGCTGTTTATCCGTTCGGAAAATTGACCAAACTGTAGTCTTGGTTTATCTGTTATTTCTCTCTATAATGTGAAGCCTACAATGCATAAGCCAACTGCTATGTATGATAAAGTTTTACCTCTGATTTATATTTGGTGACGATATCAATGGGTGTCACTATTCAAAATCGAAATCAAGTCATTTTAGCATGTCAAAGTCATATTTATGCATATAAAAGTATTTTCCCAACAACAAAATTGTGGCTAGTGAAAATGCAGAGTGGCTAGTAACGTTGGAAAAATACTAGCCACTGTGGCTGGTTATCAAAAAGTTAATGTAAAGCCCTGGCGACAATAATAAATATTCTTAATAACAGGAATTAATCTGCCTGGTTTATGATCTGTGCAGAACTGCAGCTGCTTAATTAGGCCTGCTACACTACTTTAATACTGGTCATTATGGTGGTACTTGGATAGAAAATTTTTTTTCTGTGGTGGTACTTGGTGAAAAAAGCTTGAGAACCCCTGATGTAAAGCCTATAATGCATTAGCCTCTGATTTATATTTGGTGACGATGTCTGTGAGTGTCACCATTCAAAATTAAAGCACTTCTTCACTTTTTGTCTTATTGCTCATCGTTATAAATGAAAATAAGGACACATGACAGCTAAGCAGGACCATAAATTGTGAAACTCTGACCAATGCAAGGAGAGTTTACTCGCACATGACTTGTTTTAGTTATTTTGGTCCGTTTAGAATCTTTGCCGTGTAAAATCGAACCACATCAAGAACAAAGTGCAACATTGACTACGTTTACATGGACATCAGTAATCAAATTATTTGCCTTAATCTAATTAAGACAATAATAAGATCAAGGCATTTACATGAGTTGCTTTTTGAATGTTCCTTTCATGATCCCGTTTTACATAATATAGCACATAATTCGATTAACGTCATTGCGTCACCACACTATTCACATTACCTCCGGAGTTTCATGCAATTTCGGGTGTTTTATTTTTGATTTGTCGACTTTAACTGCAGTTTGGCACTTTCACCTTCAGTCAGAATCATTTATGCATGCCCCCCGTGACAAACGAGATACAGGATGCAACTATGAACTGCTGGAAGTGTAGTTTTAATGGAAGTTGATACCACATGCTAAATGAAAGAAGAAAAAAAAACCTCAGAATTTCACAATGCAGGTGTCTGTGGTCTGCACTGACTCGGTAGGTGCAAAGAATGTCAAACAGCCATGAGTGTGTGTGGACTATCCTGTCGCAAAATGCAACGAAAAGTCCTATCATGGCGGTAGTAGTTTGATTAAGGTGTTTACATGTCTGTAATGCACTTCAATAATCCGACAACAATCCATGTGGTAATTCGATTTCTCTTTAGTTTGATTGTGACCTTAATCTAATTAAATTAATCAAAAATCGCTGTTTACATGGTCGACTCTTAATCAGAGTATTGTCTTAATCGCATTAAAATCTAATTATTTGTATTTAGAATTGTTTATTTCTGTTGTAACCAATGAGAACTGTTTATCTGGATCCCACCTTTTCTGGACTTGTGTAAAGAGTATAATTGTTCGATTGTTGAAACTGTAAGTCAGAGCGGCCTAGGAACTCATTGCGAGTGTTGAAGCTGTCAGAATCATTTAGCAGTCAGAATCATTTATGCATGACCCCCGTTTTAGTTTTGATTTGTTGACTTTAACTGCAGATTGGCACTTTCACCTTCAGTCAGAATCATTTATGCATGCCCCCCGTGACAAACGAGATACAGGATGCAACTATGAACTGCTGGAAGTGTAGTTTTAATGGAAGTTGATACCACATGCTAAATGGAAGAAGAAGAAAAAAACTCAGAATTTCACAATGCAGGTGTCTGTGTTCTGCACTGACAAAGGTGCAAAGAATGTCAAACAGCCGTGGGTGTGTGTGGACTATCCTGTCGCAAAACGCAACGAAAAGTCCTATCATGGCGGTAGTAGTTTGATTAAGGTTTTTACATGTCTGTAATGCACTTCAATAATCCGACAACAATCCATGTGGTAATTCGATTTCTCTTTAGTTTGATTGTGACCTTAATCTAATTAAATTAATCAAAAATCGCTGTTTACATGGTCGACTCTTAATCAGAGTATTGTCTTAATCGCATTAAAATCTAATTATTTGTGTCCATGTAAAACATACTTACTGTAACATTTTTAATCCCTGTTTCGAAACAAAAGAATCGATCCACAGGTGTGAAAGCTCCCTAAGAAGTCCCAGAAGTCATTGTGGCTGAATAAAGGAGGCGGGAAATGCAGCATTTTATATAGATATATTATTCAATCCTGCTGCTGTAGGGATAATTTACAGTTTAACCCAAAGAATGACCAGTCTGGTAGATGAAGAAGAGCCGGAGTCAGAGATTTAAATAAATAAATCAAGTTTACTGAAGATAGTTTGCATTTACATCAGCAGAAGCCAGCTTCAACTGTCACGTTCGGTGAGGGGGAAAAGGAGCGAGGACTCAGGTGCAGCAAATAATTGGTGTTTATTAAGAATAAAATAAAAACAAAAAGGCAAAACAAACAACCCCGAGGGGGAAAACTCTAATAAAACAAATAAACGAACAAACAAACTTGACTGGCAGGACAAGACAGGGCTGGATACAACAAGACAGGAAACAATCGACGACGAACTGGCAAAGGACTGAAAACATGAGGGGGATTATAAAGCAAAAAGTAAATTGACACACAGGTGAACACAATTAACTAATGATGGGTTAACAAGGAGGGTGGGACTAGACAATAGACGGGAGAGCGCATGACACAGAGAGACAATACAAGCCATGCGCTCACATAACACAACACTGAAGCACACGACAAAAGCACGTGACCACAATGTAAACACCGAGCCACGTGCTTTGACAAAAGACGCAAGACACGGGCACACGATGAATGAAAGCACTCACCGTGCGCTCACACACGCAGCGTGCATGCTTCATCCCACCGCCGACCAAAACCGAAACCAACAAGACTGAGACGCTGGGAATGAAACACCACGCTGCTGACAAACGAAAACACAAACACGAGTACAAGAGCGCACGCGTCTGAGGGACGCAGGATGGCGCGCGCACACACAGAGACAGAAACAGGACCAGACCTGAGTAGTGTCAGAGATCTGCCACCAAAACAAGAATTTACAAGACCAAAGTGGCAGAACCCTGACATCAACACTCGCAATGAGTTCCTAGGCCGCTCTGACTTACAGTTTCAACAATCGAACAATTATACTCTTTACACAAGTCCAGAAAAGGTGGGATCCAGATAAACAGTTCTCATTGGTTACAACAGAAATAGACAATTCTAAATACATGCGTCAAAGATACATAGTATCTACTTCCAGATATGGATGGCCTTAATGTGTGCGTCAAAGAAAGCATTGTATCTGTCTCCAGATATGGATGGCGACCTGATGCCTAGAGGTGAGATCGCCCTAAGCTATTAGGAGCTGATCTCCGACCTGTAAAAAGCTAAACCAGGAACACAATGGACACAAAAGACCATCTGTGTTAAAGACTCAGGGATGTTTCTTGTACGTTTAGCTGTGTTATCCGGCTGTTTCCATCAACAGTCTGCTGCAATATCTTTACTCCACACAGTCTATCTCCACACAAAAAGGAATTACATTAAAATTAATTATACTCAAAAATAGATCAATCAAACAGCTATAATATTATAGGCAATATCAGGACACTAGAACAGGTGTCTTCTTCTCCTCTGTATTGGACCTCCAGTCATAGGAACAGATGGGGAGAGAGAGAGAGAGAGAGAGAGATATCCATGACCTATAACCTGGTTTGTGTGTTTCCTGAAAACAAAGTTAAAATAGACAGGCAAAAAGAGAAACAAGGACACAGAACATTCTTGCAGTAAGCAGTTTTAACTTATTCATTAGTTAAAATCAATTCACAATTAAATACTGAGAAACAGGATGATGAAAAGGATAAACGTTGGTCCATGATGAGACGGATTGGAAAGCAGAAATCCGAATCCTTCACTACGCATTGACGGATTTGCTCTTCAGTGTTTGGACTCTCAGCAGTGGAAATTAAACCACACTGAACTGACTTCTCTGAAAACTGGACTCACACTGTTTCAACTTACTATAATCTTCTATGTGAAGCTGCTTTGACACAATCTACATTGTAAAAGCGCTATAGAATCAAAGATGAATTGAATTAAAGTTCAGAGTTATATCTTATTTATCTCAGGAGTTTCCCTAAATGAGATGGTGAAAGTAAACATTACCGTGAAAATCTTAACAAACACATTAAGGGTGTTTATTTGGTGAAATTCATATCAAAATTTGTTTTGTTTGTATTGTGCAAAGTGCATTTGTAAGGTTTTTGTGCATGTTATATATATATTAAAAAGTCGAAAAACAAATTGATCTCATTGAAGGTCATGTGACCATCAGGAAGAACGCAGCATCTCATTTCTCAGAGGATGCATTCTTTTCCGAGTTCATTCTTCTGAGGCAAGACCGGTCTTCACAAGTCCGTTCTCTGCGTTCTTTGAATTGAGAAAGCCAAGCTCTTAGGTAGCACTTGATACAGACATAAGTCTTGGAGCAGGGCTGGAACTAAAGTCTGCAGGTTGGTAGATCTTCAGGAACAGGATTAAGCAGCCCTGGTCTAATACTGTGGTTATTCTTTCTTTTTCAGAACTGGATCGGTAATTACAAAAGATCTCTAATCTTAAAAGATTCCTCAGAGCCCCGACCATCAAAGGTCAAAGCTCATATCAGAGAGCTGTCACCTTATAATCTTTTTTGTAGAGATGTATTTAGAAATAAAGGTGAGAGACAATATTTAACATTTTTATACTAAATGGGCTGTTGTTGTTGTTGTTGTACATAGTAGCCCTGTTTACATCAGGGCTTTACATGGGTCGTGAAATTTTTTTCAAGGTAGTATTAGGTAAGTACTTCACTTCAAGGTAGTATTAGGCAAGTACTTCACTTCAAGGTAGTATTAGGCAAGTACTTCACTTCAAGGTAGTATTAGGCAAGTACTTCACTCACGCAGAATCATCAGGGGCCTCATGAATCAATGCTGCGTATGCACAAAAACTTTGCCTACGCCAGAGTTCACGCTCGCGTTTGGATTTACTAACCATGAAATGAATTTGAAAATGTGTTTTGGTCCAATCTAACTTCATATCTGGCGTCTGTGCATTACTTGTGTGTGTGTGTGTGTTTAATTTCCATTGGCGACTCCTAGAGGCAATTGTGTTAAATTGCACACTACAAAGTATCTTTGAGCCGTGCAATGCCAGCTGCATGGGACAGGATCATCCGCATGTTTAGCAGAGGTTACAGTTGACCAGCCAAACATTAAATCGCAATTTGCAGCGATCGCCAGTGTATCCAATCTAATCGGAGCGATCGACTGCACGCACATTGCTATAAATGCCCCATCTGAAAATGAGTTTGCATAGGTGAATCAGAAACATTTCCATTCAGTAAATGTGCAAATAATTTGTGATGCTCAAATGCGCTTAACATAATACACACACTTATTAATGATTCCTACTTGTCTTCCTCGTGATGAAGAGTAGGCAAAATCTGATATGAAGAATGAGTTCATCAGATGCTGGATTCTAACCGGGTTCATGATCGATCGTGTCAAAACATGTTGCCATGCACTTTATGAGCTACACCATTCTCGCTGATGTTTGCCCCTCTTTTTAGTTATGTTGTCGCTGTCAATCAAACGGTGATGGGAATCACTCAACTCACTCCAACGAGGTGTGCTATTTGCACTAAATAGACACAATAAAATTTCAAACCTTTACATCGGACCATTTCTTTTTTAATTCCTTCACAGTTCGATGTTCAGACTCCACTGTGTTAACCGAGTCAGCTAAACTCTCCCACTCTATTTCTTTTGTTATTAATTCTGGAGAACAAACTTGCAAATAACAGTTTTTCTCCGTTCTACCTTTGAAAGGAGCACCTCCAATTCACATTCTGTTCAAAATGTCTCTTTTTGCTCGCTGTTGCCATTGCTTTCTCATTTGGTTTTGCCAAAGTGGCGTCATTACCATATTTATTAGCAGGAGGAGGCAGGCAGGGAGGGGTTTCGCACTCGTGCATGTGCGCTCAGTTTCACGTTCAGTTCTTTGTTAGATGTACAAAGAGAATATGCGTGGGATTCTGCGTATGCGGTGTTTCATACATGTGAATTTTTTACTGCATATGCACATTTACAGCTTTGTCCGTAAGCAATGTTTTAGTATTAATTCAACACAAGTCTTCGTACATGAGGCCCCAGGTCATTCACTTTACGTTATCTTGTTTTAACAGAGTTGTTATAGAGAAAGTAAATTAGTGTGTTGGACAGCTTGTCGTTGTATGAATGCACCTTTAAAAAGAGATGCTGACTCTAAAGTAATACATTTTCTATGCAACTATTTTGTCCACAGGCACAATGAATGATATTAAGGGCAGGTGGGCCACGCTGGGAGAAGATGAAAAGCAGAAATACATTGAAGAGGCAGCTGCACTGAGGGCACACGGGCAACCCCTTAGCCCTGAAATGAGGGATGCCCGAATTAAAATGCACCTTAAGAAGCTAAAGTTAGAGGTTTGGAAACAGGCTTAATTTTTTTTTTCGAGTATTTGATGCAATGATGATTGAAAGCAGTTGTGAGCAGAACATTTTGACAGACAACTGGATTGTTTATCTGTAGATTTTTTGCATTATTTTAAAGGAATTCTTATCAAATAATTGATAACTGATGAACTGATTTTTGTTTAAAGGCTATCAACATCAAGGCCCAATCCCAATTCTATTTTTGTACCCCTACCCCTTCTTCTTCCCCTTGGCCCTTAAAACAGAGTGTGAAGGGGAAGGGCTTCAAAATTTACCCCTGAAAATTGGGACAGCACCAGCACACGCCATCATATGTCATCGCGAGCTCTTGCTTCATATGAGATCAGACGATTGCGACTGCTGTAGTTATTCGAGTTGTGTTATTTCTTGGTATTTATCTTCAGGAAATCACTTAAGGCAGCGGTATCATGTTGTCACAACGATATAATGTGGCAATAAGATCGTAACTTTACTCCGCATTTACACCATGGCCATATTCATCTACGTAAACACAAGAAAACAACATTAACATTATAGCAGACACTTTAAAAGGTCATTCACAGCCACTAGACTTTTCTTACAGGGTATTCAAGTGTCATCGAGTGTCAGAATGTTGTGGGACTGCTGTACAGGAGTTGTTGTTATTATTAGGGATTATAGATAGTGAAATGTAGCGTTTTTATTTTAACGTTTTTTTTAAAGCATGATGGTAAAACACGAATGCCGTTATGAATGTATTAAAACATGTGCTTGTTTGTTGTAAAAATACATAATATGGATAAAAAACACTAATTTTGCATCTCCTGACTTCTGTGTGCGGCTATGCTGCCGTTGTATTCTTACCCCTTGGTTTCGAGTGAAGTCCTGAAAAATCTCTGTTTGAAGGGCTATCTAGCCCTTTACCTTAGCCCTACGCCTTCAAGCTAAAGAAAATTGGGACACTCCTACCTCTTGCACATGAATGCACAAAACGAGGGGTAGAGGTAGAGGGGAAGGGCTAAGGGGTAAAACTGGGATTGGGCCCAAATATTCTCACATTGAAGAAACTGTCAAGAAACTCATACCACCCTCTCAAACTAAATTAAGCTGGTCTACTTAGATCAAGGTGGTCAATTGAAGCATTAGTTGTCACAAATTGCTCAAATTCTTAGTTGGATATTGGACTCTATGTAAACACAGTTAATGTATAGTTAAAGTAACCCTGGTGGTCCCTGACAACTTATTTGCCTTGTGTGACTGACAACACTTTTTTCATATATTGCCGAACACTGTTATGGGCTGTTTCAATGGGCTGTGTGTTGAATTTTTAAAAGTAGCTTTTGTCTATTTTGTGTTTAATAGGGATGTAACGGTATCAGAATTTCACGGTACGGTAATACCTCGGTATGAATGTCACCGTACGGTATTTATTGAATCATTTACAGGAAAAAACAAAACTTATGAAAATACTCCAAAAAAGTGCCAAAAGTGTCAATGACATACAAATTAGCCATCTATCTGTAAGCTTTGAAACAGGAACTTCAATTTTAATAACAAAAAAATATTAAACCATGTAAAAAAAATAAAGTTTCAATTTAGTATTGTTGAAAACTCATCACATTCAACATTTAATCACTCACTCACTTAGATAGAGATGGGTTTAAAGGAAAATTATCATATAAACATAATCTGGTAAAAGCTGGTATCTCTGGGCATTTACAATGTCCCCTGCAACAGAAAAAACCCTCTCATTTGGGACTGAGGTTTCTGGGACAAGAGAGATATGATTTGGCCCAGGTTGACAGCAGTGGGTAACGTTGTGCATTGTCTTTCCCCCACTTGAGAGGACAAACCATGAGTGAGATTGAGGTCTCATGTCTGCATCAATCTGAACAGTGTGCTGACAACACCGCTATTCAGTACGCGCGCGACAACACAGCTGATAAGAACTCGCCCGACAACACCGCTATTCAGTATGCGCGCAACAAGACAGCTGATAAGAACCTGCGCGACAACACCGCTATTCAGTATGCGCGCGACAAGACAGCTGATAAGAACCTGTGCGACAACACCGCTATTCAGTACGCGCGCGACAACACAGCTGATAAGAACTCGCGCGACAACACAGCTGATAAGAACTCGCGCGACAACACAGCTGATAAGAACTCGCGCGAAAACACCGCTATTCAGTACGCGCGCGACAACACAGCTGATAAGAACTCGCGCGACAACACAGCTGATAAGAACTCGCGCGACAACACAGCTGATAAGAACTCGCGCGAAAACACCGCTATTCAGTACGCGCGCGACAACACAGCTGATAAGAACTCGCGCGACAACACCGCTATTCAGTACGCGCGCGCGACAACACAGCTGATAAGAACTCGCGCGACAACACCACTATTCAGTACGCGCGCGGCGACAACACCCGCTTTAGGGTTTTCCAGCTCTTTTTCATCCCTGCTTATAGCAGCACACTCCATTTCCGCATTACTGGATCTGTAGCGACAACAGACCGCAAGGGATGATGGTCAAGCATGGGCTGATGGGAATTGTAGTTTTCGCTACCTCCCGTTCGCTTCATTCGCATGAGCAAATTTTCTCAGAAGACCTATAGTTTTACAGAGTCATGCGACTACGGTAATATCGAAAAAAATTTATATTGCGGTATGACGGTATTTACAATACCGTTACATCCCTAGTGTTTAATCAATGACTTCCTTTTTTTGTGGTTGTCTTATTTATCTAAATATTGTAAAGGTGTCCAAGCTTGAGGAATTGGGTGTGGAAACAGCCATTTTGTCTTTTGACCGCCAAAAATCCAGCTTGGAGGTGTATGAACTGAGCAGCAAAGGAGCCACTGATTTCCTTGACTCAACAGGCACAGTAAACAACTTTGCACCGCATTTCAAAGGTATTGTTTATGAACATCCAAAGAAAGGGACTCATAATAGCCTATAATACTGAGAGGGGTCTGGCTGCAGACTCAGTGCAGATGCAAGCTGAGCTGCATCCAATGCTTTTTAATGTGCTCACCTAACCCCACCCATAACCCTACCTCTCACAATGATGTCACTAGCTCTATTGACTGCATTGTGTCTGACACTGCATCTCTGGGTGATGCAATCTCAGCTTGCATCATAAAGGCTGCATCCAGATACTATTAATAATACTGTGAATATACATAATACAGTTTTCTGAAATGAATTGGTGTCTGTTGTTATAGCCAGCTCCTCGGCCATAACACCCAGTACCAAAGATCAAGTCAGTGTACTGGTAGGAAAAGTGCAAGATCTGTTCAACCAAAAATACAGTAAGTGTATCTTCAAATATTTTAAGACTCGTGTAAAGAAACTGTTTATCTTGATACCCTAATGTTCCTTCATAAATTCATGATATTATTATCAAATAAATAAATAAATCATTTATCTAATGTGCCCATGTGTTTGTAGCCTGTACACTGGCTGTACATCAGCTAGAGGGGAAAGTCACAATTGTCCAGCTGTGTGACTTTGTGTGTGTGCCTTTGTCTTTCAGAGGAGGCTGGGGGTACTGGAAGGCTCCCCTACCAGTCCCTGATGAATCAGGGCATGACCATAAAAGTTGCTGGACTGCCCAACAGCCTCACCCTCAGGAAGCCTTCCTTTTATGGAAGAAACCAATTGGAAGCCATTTTGAAAGCTGCTGAGGGGATTTCGTTTGAAATAAGTAAGTGACCTTACCAGTGGTTGTGTTTCTTTACTTGTGTTTTGGCAGACCATTTGTCTCTATTCAAAATGGGGAAAATAAGTTAACTAAATAATAATACAGGCCTACACGTGAGTCTTTGTATAGTGCTGGGCTATTGCATTTCTCTCTTTCCCTTCACCCCAACTGATTGAAGCGGATGGTCTATGGCAAGCCGTTTTAACATTTATTCTATAGCCGGTACTAGTATCTATTTTCTTGTTACTAGTACTTATATTTTAGATACCAGTATCTTTTCCATTAAGTACTAGTACTTATTCGTTAGATACTAGTGCTTATTCATTAGATACTAGTTCATTGTAAAATATACTAGTGCTTACTCATTAGACACTAGTTCTTTATATTAGTTACTAGTACTTATTCATTAGATACTAGTATCTATTAAATAGATACTAGTACTTATTCATTAGATACTAGTATATATTTATTAGATACTAGTATCTATTTAATTAATAATAGTACTTATTTATTAGATACTACTACTTATTAAATAGATACTAGTTCTTATTTATTAGTTACTAGTACTTATTTTATTAGTGACTAGTTACTATTATGTTGTTACTCGTAATAAATTAAAAATTTTCCCATTCATTTCTATGGGATCTCTAATTGAGATATCAACTATTTAGTTTTGACTAGTATGTATTCCAGCTGTGACTAGTGCATATTTTTATCTACTAGTAGTTAATCATTAGGTACTAGTACTTATTACTGAGATACTACTACCTAATTAATAGATACTAGTACTTACGTATTAGATACTAGTCCTTATTCATTAGGTACTAGTATCTATATAATATATACTAGTACTTATTTATTAGATACTAGTACTTATTAAATAGATACTTGTACTTATTCATTAGATACTAGTACTTATTAAATAGATACTAGTACTTATGAAATAGATAATATAACTAATTTGAAATGTTACTAGTAACTATTTTTATTTTACTAGTAAAATGTTTAATTGAACTCTACTCTTCCGTTTGTACTAGTCTTAACATAAGACGAGTAAAAAAACAGAACTGACTAGTAAAAAAGGGATTGTTACTAGTAATAGTTATAAAAGATACTAGTGTCTAATAAATAAATACTAGTACTAATAAATAACTACTGGGTGTGTTTCATAAAAATATGAAACACACCCAGTCCCCTTTTTTGAATATCAGTTTTACTAATCAGTAATGGCCATGATAAAAGTATAACATACAATAAGTTTATACAATATATTAAATAAAGGCAAGCAATCAGTCAAATGTCCAAAATCAGTGTACGAGATCTTTGCAATCAGCCAGAGGAGATCTTTTCAGAAATGCTAGGTGAAATGCCAGTGTGGCGGTGGATCATTTTCGTTCTAAAACACATTTTAAAACGTATTTGTGTGAATGGGGCCTCAGTTTCGTCATTATAATGCAACAAGATTTTTAAAAAGGCACCTCTCCAGGGGCCTCATGTACTAAGACTTGCGTGGACATCATGCTAAAACATTGCGTACGCACAAAGCTGTAAATGTGCGTACACAGAAAAAAATTCAGATGTATGAAACACTGCGTACGCCGAATCTCAAGCATATTCTTTTGTACATCCGAATGAACGTAAAACTGACCGCAACATGCACGAGCACAAAACCCCTCCCTGCCTCCTCCCCCGTATGAATATGCAAATTACTCTACTTTGGCAAAACCCAACGAATGTGAATTGGAGGTGCTGCTTTCGGAGGTAGACCGGAGAAAAGCGCTGTTATTTGCAAATTTGTCCGGAATTAACAACAAAAGAAAAAAATAGAGTGGGAGAGTTTAGCTGATGCGGTTAACACAGTTGAGTCTGAACATCGCACTGTGGAGTTAAAAGAGAAATAGTATGATTTATAGGTGTAAAATGTTGCAGTACCCTTAACAGTCTCAGTGGCGCAGCTCGTAAGACACAAGAAAACATGTTTTGACACGTTCGAGCATGAACTCGGTTCGAATCCAGCGTCTGATGAATTCATTCTTCTTTTTTCCCCACTACATATCAGATTTTGCCAACTATTTATCACGAGAAAGACAAGTAGGAATCATTAATAAGTTTGTGCATCATATTTTATTTGCACATTTATTGAATGGAAATGTTTCTGATTCACGTATGCAAATTCATCTTCAGATAGTGTCTTTATAGCAATGTGCGTGCAGTAGATCGCTCAGATTACATTGGGAAAACAGGCGACCGCTGCAAATTGCGCTTTAATATTTAGCTGGTCAACTGTATGGTATGGAAACCTTATATGCCTGCTGAACCCGTCTCATACAGCTGCCATTGCAAGACTCAGACACTTTGTAGAGAGGAATTTAACACAACTGCCTCTAGGAGTCGCCAATGGAAATAAAACAGACACGCACAAAAAATGTGCGTACGCCAGTAATAAAGCTGCCATGGAGCTGCGCACATTCCCACGTTCAGTTCATTGTTAGTAAATCCAAACGTGAGCGATTCTGAGCGTGAAACCTGGCGTACGCAAAGTTTTTGTGCGTACGCAGCGTTGATACATGAGGCCCCAGATTATCCTATAGCTGTTTAGCTGAATGTGACTAGTGACTGTGGCCCATGACAATGGATAGTTTTTATCTTTTTTTATGCTCTTCACACCACTTACTAATTAAATTTTATGTATATATAATTTCTGCCAATTACATTCTTTTAATACTGATGTATGATGAATTATTTTTCTACAGTGATGCAAGAAGGCCAATTATTTGTTATGCTCATGCTACACAAGTGTTTTGTTTCTCCTAATAAATATCAGATGGAGCACAATGCAACCCCACTAACATGGCAGAGGGAACGTCAGAGCACATGGCTGCAGAAGGTAAGGTATATAAATATAGAATATTAAACTTAAGAAGCAGAGTTTACTAGATATGTAACTGTGATCACTGCACAGCACCTTTGACCACTGTACACATTATTTGAAACAGTAAAATGAAATCAAACACTTTGTGCGATGGTTTAATGTCTTGAAATCAATAGACACACAGCAGATGCCATCCAGGTGAAACCAGTGGAAGAAACATTAGAGGCCATGTGTGAACATGGTATTTCTTGTACTCATCATACGTTTTGCCAAATGCTACAATCAGTTTTTGCTGTTGTTTAAGTCTGAGATTAAATAAAACGACTGTTCTGAGAAGTCTGCCAGACATTTGACACAAAGAGAAAAGCTCACTTGTTTGGAAATTACAATTTATGAATACAATATTGATCCAGAATGGATGTTTCCCAGTGTTGGGTTGCGGCTGGAAGGGCATCCGCTGCATAAAAAATATGCTGGATAAGTTGCCGGTTCATTCCGCTGTGGCGACCACTGGTTAATAAAGGAACTAAGCTGAAAATAAAATAAAATGAATGAATGAATATTGATGCAGGTGACATTAAACAGCATATGTAAGGTTGGTATTTTACACTTTGAATTGGTTCTTGAGAATAAGATGCAAATAATGGGACTGTCTAATTTTAATCAAGGATTTACTAATTAACATTTGACAGTATACAAGCTGACAAACTGAATTGAGATTTAAAAGTCTGCATTAAGAAAGTTGTTATTGTGCTGTTTCATGTACTTTAGGTACACCGCAATTAAAAGAGGAATCCATAGAAACACCTGTAGCTATCATGATGACTGGAGATAAAGGTATCTTTCCACATTGTGGTTATTTTTTATTGAACTATTGACAGTATAAATGCTTACAAATTAAATTAGGAATGTGTAATAGAGGATTTAAAGTTTGTATTAAAAAAAGTTTGTGTTTTGTTTTATGAACTTTAGGTGCACAGCAGATGGAAGACGAATCTTCAGAAACAGCCACTACTGTAGCCATCATGATGACTGAAGATACAGGTATCTTTACACATTGTGGTTATTTTTTATTTACCAGGAAGTCCCATTGAGAAAAATGAGTTCTTCGGTTTCCTCAGATGGTTTGAGTTACCTTAACTTATTGGGGTTAACAGTACTCTGTTTGAATTATCTTCATTTATTGGGTTTTACTTTGCTCAAGTTGCTTCGTTTACTCAAACGGATCAAGTTCACAGCACTCAATAGGATTAGTTTTTGAGCCTTAACCATTTGAGGAAACAGATTGCAACAAACCATTTGAGTTACCTTAAACTTTTGGCTTCTACAGTGTGGTGATGAGTATGATTTCAACTAACTGGCTTTTTTTGTGTTTTTCCTTTGGTAGATGGAGGCATGCTGTGCTGTGTCTGCAGTGTCCACAAGAAGGAAAACGCCTCAAAGAAGTGGCGATCTTGGTCACAGTGCACAATGTGCCAGTCTTGGTCACACACTGCATGTGGTTTTGAAAAGAACTTGTGCTTTCACTGCCAGTGTGAAAACGCCATGCAAAGTTCCTAAACCACTGCATCAGTGTTAGAAAACATGCTGTTTTCTTGTTACTTGTTGTTGTTTACTGTATTGACGGCCCCAACTCATCTTTATAAAACACCTGGGGCCTCATGTATCAACGCTGCGTACGCACAAAAACCTTGCGTACACCAGGTTTCACGCTCAGAATCGCTCACGTTTGGATTTACTAACAATGAACTGAACGTGGGAATGTGCGCAGGTTCACGGCAGCTTTATTGCTGGCATACGCACATTTTTTGTGCGTGTCTGTTTTATTTCCATTGGCGACTCCTAGAGGCAGTTGTGTTAAATTGCTCTCTACAAAGTGTCTGAGTCTTGCAATGGCAGCTGTATGAGACGGGTTCAGCAGGTATATAAGGTTTCCATACCATACAGTTGACCAGCTAAATATTAAAGCGCAATTTGCAGCAGTCGCCTGTTTTCCCAATGTAATCTGAGCAATCTACCGCACGCACATTGCTATAAAGACACTATCTGAAGATGAATTTGCATGCGTGAATCAGAAACATTTCCGTTCAATAAATGTGCAAATAAAATATGATGCTTATTGATATGAACTTATTGATGATTCCAACTTGTCTTTCTCGTGATAAATAGTTGGCAAAATCTGATATGTAGCGGGGGAAAAAACAAGAAAGAGTTCATCAGACGCTGGATTCAAGCCGAGTTCATGCTCGAACGTGTCTATTCATGATCACATGCGTCTAACGAGTAGCGCCACTGAAACTGTTAAGCGTCCTGCAACATTTTACAGATATAAACCACACTATGTCTTTTTTTTTTTAATTCACTCGGTGCGATGTTCAGACCCAACTGTGTTAACCGCTTCAGCTAAACTCTCCCACTCTATTTTTTCTTTTGTTGTTAATTCCGGAGAACAAACTTGCAAATAACACCGCTTTTCTCCGGTCTACCTCCGAAAGCAGCACCTCCAATTCACATTCTGTTCAAAGTTTCTCTTTTTGCTTGCTTTTTCCGTTGGTTTTTCGTTGGGTTTTGCCATTAGCATAGTCATTAGCATATTCATACGGGGGAGGAGGCAGGGAGGGGTTTTGTGCTCGTGCATGTTGCGCTCAGTTTCACGTTCATTCAGATGTACAAAAGAATATGCGTGAGATTCGGCGTACGCAGTGTTTCATACATCTGAAATTTTTTCTGCGTACGCACATTTACAGCTTTGTGCGTACACAATGTTTTAGTAAGATTTCCACGCAAGTCTTCGTACATGAGGCCCCAGGGCTTATTTTGTGCTGGAACACACCGGATCCTGATCCGGCATCTCCTCCAATGTTCGCTGTTCAATTTAACTTGTTTCCGTGACTCCCGACCCTTTTCATTTTCGTCCGCAACAAACCCATCAATGCAACCCCCCTGGTCTTCACTTTTGTCTGCAACAACCCTACTCTATTCAACGCCCCGCCATTTTCCCCCACCCTCTTCACTTTCGTGCACCTCTACATCCTCGGGTAACATGTTGGATCCATTACCCCAATCTGTTCCAGGAGCTCTCAATTCACAAATTAAGTCCGGCAAAACACACAAAATACATATATACACATTTTTAAATGTAATTTTTTTATCTTTTTCCATTAAAATATACTTTATATGAATCTTGCTGCAAATTTATTGTAATGATTACACATGTAAGAATATAACTGTGATCTTATTCTTTTCAATCATCCTGATTTCTTTTATTTTTTGTTGTATTTTGTCGATGTGGTCCCCTTTAATCTGGGCCCTGTGTGGAGCAATAAATTTATATTGTACTGAATTAAGTCTACATGTTTTTTATATGTATTTATACAACAGTTCTGTCTGGTTCTAGAATCTGATTGGATGATAGCCGTGTAATATTCTCCAATATCAGAGCTCATACTGATTTTTGAATTCTATGAATTCAGACACTAAGCTCGCATACTGATTTTAGCGTACTGTATAGTATGGGAGTATGGCATTTTGGATGCAGCCTAGTTCAGTAAACAGAAAGAAAGAATGGGTCTTAGGGAGTGCCAATGGGTCCACGCTGTGTGTGTGCGTGTGCATATCTGTGTGCGTGAACTTTGTAACGACATTGTGAGTGACTCATCGTTGCAACTCCACAGAAAAAGCATCAAATACTCATTGGTAAAGTTCTTACTGTGGTATTTCTCACAAACGCTAAGTAAGATCTTCCTTTCTGTCTGTCTGATGTCTAAGGCAGTCGAGAGAGGAGATTAAGGCACGCTGAAAGGCACGTGGAAATGGTGGGCGCGAAGGACTAGCCTTAAAGGTGCAGTACAAAAAAAACACCACCATGTGCTAAGAGGTATAAAACAAACTTATAAAAGGTATAATAAAAAATCTGATATTTTTTTAGCTGAAATTTTACAGGCACATTCTGGAGACACAAAACACTTATATAAAATTTAGAAAAAGGGGTAACCTAGGTGCTCTTTAACATACACTCACAGGGCACTTTATTAGGTACACCTTACTAGTACCGGGTTAGACCCTTCTTGCCTTTATAACTGCCTTAATCCTTTGTGGCAGAGATTCAACGAGGTACTGGAAATATTCCTCAGAGATTTTGCTCCATATCGATGACTTAAAAAAAAAAAAAAAGAAAAATGATAAGACACCATTTGGGTAATAGATTACCCAAACTCCTTTGACTGGAGTAGTAAAAATGGTAACATAGTTCCCTGTTCACTACATGCACATCTGCTTTCTCAGAGTGACAAGAGTTCAAATGTGGCTGAAAGGCAAACAGCTTCAAACAAGTTGTTGTGATCACAGCAAATTCTAATGATGTCAGGCAGGCTTCTTGCTCCCCGTCCTTCTATGCCTCAAGAATTTGCCAGAGAGCCTCGTTCATTGACAGAGGTGGACAGATTGAAGGCCACAGAGATCCGTCAAGTCATGATCTATACTGGGCCCATTGTTTTAAAAGGATTTGTCGAAAATGGAATGCTGGCATGTTTCTACTCCTCAGCCTGGCAAAATTCTCCTACAAGAGTGATTATAGCGCCTCCCGATGGTGAATGCGGTTACACTTACGGCAGGTATTATTTGATAATTCGGTCGTTTATTTCACCGATTTGGCGACCGTCAAACGTCATGAGGGAAACGATTTGAATTTCTGCTTAGTAAAAAAACATTCAAGAGTTCACACTTAGCTGATGATTAATTATAAAAGCTTGTTTGGCATGCTGTCCCGGGAGAGAGCCCTGAGCTCATGAGATCCTCGAGCCCAGGGCTCCCTCCCGTTGCAAGGCGGGAGGGAGTTTGAGCTCAGGTAAATCTCGAGAACTCCCCTGCTGTAGCAAGTGATTGCTCTTGAAAATAACTACGTACTAGAAGCGTGTCTACGGTGCCAATTTGGATTGTTCAATTGACTTAATTGCAAGTTTTTAGGCAGTGAGTGGAAACCGGGGGAAACCCACGTGAGCACGGGGAGAAGTGCAAACTCCACAGAGAAATGTCTGCTAGTTTGGTAAAGCCAGGAACCAGAGACATTCTTGCTGTGAGGCGACAGTGCTACGCACTGGGCCACTGTGTCACCCGTCTAAGAAGGGGGAGGAAGGGGGGACTCTTTAAAACGAAGATAGCAGTGGAATGCAACCCAGGGTATTTATAGTAGTTTAGGAGTCATCTGATTGGAGCGTAGTGAATTGGATAATGCGGACCCAGCCGCTAGCAATCATAAGCACGTGATCCTCTCGAAATTTGTTTATACATAAACTTCACTAAGTGTGCCATTTGGGACGACACTACATACATATACTACCCTGTTGAGTGTGTAAGTGCATAAGTACATAGCCAGGGTTCTTGCACCATTTTAAAAGTAAAATTTAATGCTTTTTAAGACCTTTTTAAGACCTCAACAAATATAATTTAAGACCCAAAAATGTTATAATTTCTTTGGAATAGGCTACTCATTTTAATGTTCTCGTTAGATTTAAATAAATTGTGCCTCGTCACAGTATGGATATCCCACAGTACCTGTCTTTTGGGTGTCTGGTGGTGAAATGAAACTGTTATAGATGACTGTGAGTGGGCGTCTGAACTAGAGCTGTAATCAGGCTATAATAGTTAGGCCTGATAGAGCCCGAACCCGACATGTACATTTTGATTGATAACTTTTTAAAAGCTCGAATCCGTTTATAGCCCGACATTATCCAAATGTGCACACAGCTCTTTTGTCTTTTTTTCCATGAATGAGTCGTTTATATGCGTTAACATTACTCATTCATAACATAGACTACAGTACAGGCTCAAGTTAGAACATAAAAATAAAATAAGCCCTCTGTAACATCTTAACACTCTAAATAGGCCTGGGTACAAACACTTAACCTTTAAATTGGCCAACGCACCAATACAAATAGAACGCAGTAGGTAGTGCTGTCACCTCACAGCAAGAAGGTCGCTTTGTCGCTGGTGCGAGCCTCGGCTCAGTTGGCGTTTCTGTGTGGAGTTTGCATGTTCTCCCTGCGTTCGTGTGGGTTTCCTCCGGGTGCTCCGGTTTCCCCCACAGTCCAAACACATGCTGTACAGGTGAATTGGATAGGCTAAATTGTCCGTAGTGTATGAGTGTGTGTGTGTGTGTGAACAGGCCCGGATTGGCTAATCGGGAGGACCGGGAGAATTCACGGTGGGCCGGTCCGTTTTTTGGCCGCGAGGGCCGGTGTCCCTAGTTCCAGAATGCTCTCAGCAGTCACACTTTTTAAAAAATAATTTATTTATTTACTTGACCACAGCCTTCTTATTCATTATTTTACTGCAGCTCTGCTCTTTTTATCTATTTTCTCGTAGCTTCGTGAGCAGGATGCAGCCTGCAGGTTAATGATGATATAACCTTATATGTCACTATACATCATACAGCTGTTGTGGTACAGTGGTTAGTACGTTAGTTTATGACGCGGTCAACCTGGGTTCGGTCCTTGTCTAAGTATCAATTTTTTTTTTCATTTTTATTGTTAAGACATAATACTGTAAGGGTTGTTGAACATTTGAAGTTCTAAAAGAGCTGTTTTCTCAAAAAAAGACGTGATAGTGTAATTAGAAACTGAATTGGAAATAACCTTATTTTAATATAGTCAGTGGTGAACTGAGGTGGGCCGGTCTGAGGCTTGTAACTCCAGGGCTGAAAAAGAGTCCCACTCCGGCCCTGTGTGTGAATGTGTGTGTGGATGTTTTCCAGAGATGGGTTGCGGCTGGAAGGGCATCCGCTTCTTAAAAACTTGCTGGATAAGTTGGCGGTTCATTCCGCTGTGGCGACCCCGGATAAATAAAGGGACTAAGCCGACAAGAAAATGAATGAAATGAATGATAAATGATGACGGGTATTTGGCAGGAACGAAATTAAGATAAAGGCTCTGTGGGATTAGTTTTGCCACTTCTCCTGACAATAAGGCGATGGTGAAGCTAAATAATAAAGGAATAATGCCAGCATTAGCCTGTATACTCTGACTACATTATGATTTTATGGTTTTATTAATATTTAGTTATAATTTGAAATTCTCCACTCATCAAGATTAGGCTGTGTGTTTTTGTGGGGGAACATTATTTAATCCACTGTAAATGGCTTTAGTGCACTGAACACCCTTTCTCTGCTGCTTCTACTGGCCGGGATGCTTTACTGATCTGGCTAATTTAGCATGTTTTGGGTAGGATTGTTTGTTCATCTTCCAGCAGTCAGGAACATTCATTTAATTTCCCATGACAGCGGTTTCAATGCAGCGAGTGACCTCGTCACCTTCCCTGTCAGCGCGCTGGACACTGCTCCTTAGTGCTCTACCGTAATACGCAGTATATAAGCGTCCGCCGAAATACTTTGGCGACTAGAATGACTGTTCGAATTAAACTGTTGGCTGGCCTGACTGCTGACAAAATTCGCTCTTTTTGACATCTCTGTCATCATTTGTTTTGCTTTTGCAGGGATGGATTTCAATGTTGTTACAAACAATTTGATTACTTCCTCGCGCTAAATGCATCACATGACTGTTCATTTACTGCACAAGCCCGGCACGACCCTGTCTAAAAGGATATAAATAAAGTTCGAACCCAGCAAAGATCTTCAGATCTAGTCTGAACTAGTAACATTGTTAGGTTGAGCTGCAAACAATGCAAGGATTAACCTGGACCCGCTATGACTAGCTGCTGCAACGTCCCGCGGCTGCTTTCCTCCTTTCATGTGCGACTCGACGGCTTTGAGCCCCACGGTCCCTAACGAAAAGGTCTTTTTGCTGAATTTACACATTTCTTCATTGCCACGTCATTAAATGTACACTTTCCCATCTTTGAGTTTTGAACAAGTGTGCCGCAAGCCTACGTTTGAGTGAAGGTTTCGGCCGTTAGATCGCCCCCTGGGGGCTGGCTGCAGTACAAGTCATAAAGCCCGCCTCCTCCGTGTTAATGAAGGAGACTTGAGCCCAAATAAAAAAAAATATTACACTTGCAATAAAATGTCCCGAAAGATAGTTCTGGTGGATTAAGGCACTGGTTATTGTGCTGAAATAGGTGCAGATCTTCATTTTTGTAAACAGTTTGTTTTTAGCAGTAATTTAATGCTGGGCGTGTCATCGTGATTGACAGCTGTGATTGACAGTTTCTCAAAGCGCGGCGTCTGAGCTTCGGCAGGAGACTGAAGTAGACTGAAATGTTATTATTCGATTTCTGTGTTATTTTATCATGACAAAATGAGTTCAGCAGTAAACTATAGTTTCTGACATACATGATCCTGGTGGAACACTGTTTATTCGCTAAGTTCAGGGCTTTTTTCGGGCTTTATTA